TGCTCTTCCGGCCTGCTACTCTGGGCGGGCCTGAGTTTCCTCTCCTCACCTAATTCCTTTGGCTGACTGCTCTTCTCTCTGGCTTCCTGGCTTTTAATCCCTTTTCTCCTGCTCTTCCCGCTTGCTACTTTGGGCGTCCTGAGTTGTCTCTCCTCACCTGTAACCCTGGGGCTGACTGCTCCTCTGTCTGGCTTCCTGGCTTTTAATCCCCTTTCTCCTGCTCTTCCCGCTTGCTACTTCAGGCGTCCCTGAGTTGTCTCTCCTCACCTGTAACCCTGGGGCTGACTGCTCCTCTGTCTGGGTTCCTGGCTTTTATCCCCTTCCTCCTGCTCTTCCAGCTTGCTACTTCGGGCGTCCCTGAGTTGTCTCTCCTCACCTGTAAGCCTGGGGCTGACCCTACATACAACAGAACAAAACACTGCTGCATCCTGTGCCATCCTCACACTTGTAGTGTTTGAACCCATTGTCACAGCCAGTGTGTCATTCCATGTCATTGAGGGTCTTCCTCTTTTGTGCTGATCCTCTATTTTGCCAAGAATAATGTCCTTCTCCAGGGACTGGTCTTTCCTGATAACATGACCAAAGTCTTACCATTCTTGCTTCTCAGGAGCGTGCTGGCTGTAGTTCTTCCAAAACAGATTTGTTCATTCTTTTTTGAAATTCATTGTATATGTAGTATTCTTTGCCAACACTGTAATTCAAAGGCTTTGCCAAAGGGGCAGGGAGGCAGCATCTTCTGACCTCCTCTGACCCCACAAGAGGAGAACAGAATCACCATCAGTAGCCCAGGGCCTATTCCTGTGAGGCCAGACATGCAGCCTCCCTGCAGTCCTTTCATCAACCCTGACACCAACCATTCCTCCCTCAGCATCCACCACCTCTCTGCTGGGTTCGATAATTCACTACAGTGGCCACACAGAACTCACAGATTATGGGGTTTATTAGGGAAGCAACAGGCTACAATTCAAGTTCAGAAACATGCTCAGTCTCTCTCAGCCTGCTGTGTCTCAGCTAACAGTCTCTCTCAGTCTCTCAGCGGTGCGTGTCTCTTGGTGTCTTTCTCAGTGGTGCATGTCTCTCGGTGTCTCAGCGGTGCGTGTCTTGGTGTCTCTCAGCAGTGTGTTTCTCTTGGTGTCTCTCTCAGCGGTGCGTGTCTCTCAGTGTCTCTCTCAGTGGTGCATGTCTCTTGGATCTCTCAGTCGCATTGAGAGATTCTTTCTGCCTCTAGGAGGGCTCCTTTTGAGGTATCCCCAGGTGGATAACTTTAACATTCAGGAATTACTCAGTTGCTCAAAGCAAATTCCACCATGGAGTTTACAAAGACTGATGGCTAGAAAAGTCATACCAGGTAATTTACTACACCACAAGCATCAGTTCTTCTTTGGCCTTCCTTATTCATTGTCCAGCTTTTGCCTGCGTAGGAGGCAGTTGAAAATACTGTGGCTTGGGTCAGGTACACCTTAGTCTTTAAAGTAACATTTTGCTCTTTAACATTTTAAAGAGGTCTTTTCAGCAGATTTGCCCAGTGCAATACATCGTTTGATTTCTTGACTGCTGCTTTCATGGACATTGATTGTGGATCTAAGTAAAATGAAATCCTTGACAACATCCTAGAAGAGGAACTACCAGAAGTTGACAATGGATTCAGAAGAGGATGTGGCACAAGGGGTATAATTGCTGATGTCAGGTGGATCTTGGCTCCAGACAACACCAGAAAGATACTTATCCATATTTTATTGACTATGCAAAGCTGTTAAACTCTGTAGATCATAACAAATTATGGATAGCGTTATGAACTCTTAATTGTGCTCATAGGGAACCTGTATATAGACTAAGAAGCAGTTGTTCGAACAGAATGAGGGGATGTTGTTGTTGTTGTTAGGTGCTGTTGAGTCGTGTCTGACTCATAGTGACCCTACGCATAGTAGAACGAAACACCGCCTGGTCCTGCACCAGCTCCTTGATCCTTGCTATTCTTGAGCCTATTGTCGCAGCCATTGTGTCAGTCCATCTCATTGAGGGCCATCCCCTCTTTCGTTAACCTTCCACCTTGCCAAGCATGATATCCTTCTCCAGGGAATGGTCCCTTCTGAAAACATGAATAAAATAATGCATAATTTAAAATCAGGAAAGGTGTATGCCAGAGTTGTATTCTTTCACCATACTTATTCAATCTGTATGCTGAGTAAATAAACTGAGAAACTGGACTATATGAAGAAGAACGTGGCATCAGGATTGAAGAAAGTCTCCTTAACAACCTGTGATGTGCAGATGACACAATCTTTCTTGGTTAAGATTAATAGCCTTGGAAACCCTGTGGGGCAGTTCTACTCTGTCTTAACAGGGTTGTTGTGAGTTGGAATTGACTTGACAGCAGTGGGTTTGGTTTTGTGTGAATTATTTGTCTCCATTAGGAGCTCTGGTAGCTTAGTGCCTAAGGCACTTGACTGCTAATCAGAAGGCTGGGGGTTCAAACCCACCAGCCACTCTTCGGAAGGAAGGTTGGGCAATCTACTTCCGTAGTGATACTGCCTCGGAAACCCAAGGAAGGGTCGCTATGAGTCAGGGCCGACTCGACGGCGCATAACAACAGCAACAACATTTGTCCCCATTATATTTAAAAAGGTGCCCTGGTGGTGCAGTGGTTAAAACATTTGGCTGTTAACCATAAAGTCGGCAGTTTGAACTCACCAGTCACTTTGTGGGCAAAAGATGTGGCAATTGGCTTCTATACAGATTACAACCTTAGATACCCTGTGGGACAGTTCTACACTATACGATAAGGTTTCTGTGAGTCTGAATTGACTTGATGGTAGTGCATTTGTTTGTCTTTGTCATGTTTTTACTATTCTTACAAGAAAAGTAGTCATAGAAGTTCTCAGGTGTCATTGGCTAGACATGGCAAGTCATGGATAAGACTAATGGCAGTAGGAAGTGCCACATTTACTTAACTGAATCAAGACCACCTGCCTTCTGATTAAGGCAGTTTCTGATGGTAAAGGACAAAGTGAGGGGAAAGGTTCCTTGGATAGGAACCCGAGAAATCCCCTCAGGTGGGCTATTGAAATTCTCTGAGAAGGTGGGTTCGTAACTTCCGTTAGTGACCTGTTTCATTTGCTGGTTAGTAAGCTGAATGTGTTCATGTATTGACTAAAATTCATCTTTCTTTTGCTTCTTTCTCATGAGGTTTATGCTCAGCTTGATATGTTCTCTGTCTTTACCAGGACTCTTTCTACCAGTGATGATGTTGAAGACAGAGAAAACGAGAAGGGTCGCCTTGAGGAAGCCTATGAGAAATGTGACCGGGACCTGGATGAGTTGATTGTGCAGCACTACACAGAGCTGACCACAGCCATCCGCACCTACCAGAGCATCACTGAGCGTATCACCAACTCCCGGAATAAGATAAAGCAGGTTAGCTTCCTGTCTTCATGTGTGGGGATGTGACACCTTCCTGTAGCACAGGGTGGTTTGGAGTAGTGGCTAATGGTCCCCTAGTAAGTGATACATAACCACTCTTCTCGGGGTCTTAGCTCCCTGGAGTGTCTGGTGGAAGAGAATCACAGTGGCATTTGCTTCTTCCCTCCCTGTGTCTTACCCTCTGGCTCCTCCCATTGCGTCTCACTGCAGCGTGAGATGACATAGTGAAAATGCCCGCAACTTGAGGAAGACTGGAAGTTACCCAGTGCAGAGAGCAGGCTGTTTTAAGACCTTAGGCCCCTGCTATGAGAGGAGGCTGCCATCACATGATATCAAGTCCATTTAATCTACCCAGATCACACAGTTCATTTGTGTGTATGTGCATGTTTATGTGTGCTTGTGTGTGTTTCTGTCTGTACACATGCTGCTTTAGTAGTGATGTGCACTTAGATAATTTTTTGCTGTTGAAAATTTGGCTTTGAGCATCTCACCTGATTTGAAGTTGGTTGTGATTTCTCTGCAATTATTGTGCTTTCGTGGTAATTTTTGTTAAATTAAAAGAAAAATCTAACTTAAAATTATTTAAAAACATAATGAAATGTTTATGAATACCAAAATTCTTGAATATCGTGCTTTAGTTGTGACAAACGTATATTCGTTTTTATTTTAATATTTTTATATTTTGAGGCTCTTTTTCATTTCTTTCTCTCTCTCTCTTTCTTCCACCCTGCTTCCCTCTCTCCCTTCCTTCTCTTCCTTCTTTCTCTCTGCCTCTGCCCCTCCCTTTGTAGGTCCTTGTGTCCTGGTTCCTTTAGTGCTTACTGGATAAATTGAATTTTAGGCGTATTTTTCTATTTGGCCAAGGGATGAACTATCTAGTAACTATCAAACGTATCATCACATCATAGTCTCTGTAGTTCTCGGCCGTGTCTTCTGAGGACCACTCCTTTAATACCTTTGGCTGTGACTCTGATAAATTACGATGCTCGCTACCACTTACTGAGCTTTGATTATTTGCCAGCCATGATTTTATCTGGTGCTCATTCAGCAAATGTAGAATTCACACTGTTCTCCTAGCCTCTAATGTCATTGCTGCTGGTTTTCAGAGGCTTTCTTTCTTTTTTTTTAAATAGAAGTCTTTATTTATTTTTAAATTAGATATTTTGCAGAACCCCAGCATACCAAACAGTAAGAGGGGTGGTCCTGTCCTCTTGTTGGGTGTTGGGTAGAGAAGCCCATGCTTGGACCCTTCCTTGCCTCTTGGTGACTGCCCCTGCAGCACCTTTGTGAGCATTCAGACCTTAGCGTGAAACCCACTGCCCTGTGTTACGAGGTTGATAAGAGCTCTTGGATGGGGTCTGCCATTCTCACATGCTTTCTTTCCTGTCCTCTAGACCTCATATTAAGATTCTATAAACAGATACATACATTATCCTTCCAAGAATCCTGTTGATGCATGACTTTGAGCCTCCAAGAGTCCAGTTGCAGCAGAATCAGTAGGCTTTTTCTTTTTTTTGAAGGTGTGTGCTGACCTCTTTACATTTTAAAATTAACCAGTTTTTTTTTTAAATTTTTATTGTTTTTTGGGTGAAAGTTTACAGAGCAAATTCATTTTCCATACAGCAGTTCACATACACTTTGACTCGTAACATTGACTGTGCAGGAGTCATTTGACTCCACAGTGCAGGAGCTCTCTTCCCACTTCCTCCCCATAGTTACCTCTTCCCTGTGTCCTTCTCCCCCATGCAGTCCTTCCCCCTGAGCTGTCTCCCTGTGCACACACAGCTAGCTGGGCATTTGTGAAAGGAATAATCTTTTCAAGTGGTGAGTTCAGCCTATGGACTTATCAGTGAAGCTGGGTAAAGCTGTAGATCCATTCATCTAGATTGAAAGTAAACTGTAGTCCATTTGACCCAATATTCTGAGCTCAAGGGAGCTTGGCAAATGAAGGTATACAGCTGCTGACCTTCTGGCTCTGCCTCAGGTAATCCCAGCCAGCTGAGGGACCTTTGGGGATTTGTGCTTTCTGATTGGTTGGGTTGACAGCGGGGACTTTGTCCTACTCTCCAGGCCGTGATCTCCGCCCTGCCTCCCTGTCCCTCAGCTTTGATAGCGTCTTTGCTGCTAACATGGGTATCTGCCTGGTTTTGACAAAGCAAGCCCCATTCGGATGAGGTCACATTTGTTTTAGTCACCACAGTCTTCCCACCATCCTCATTTTCACAAAACAGAAAAAGAAAACTTTGTGCTTGTCACAGCTGATAGTTGTCAAGAATGTAACCGGTACCCAATTCAGTGTTAAGAATTAGCTTCAGTATTGGGGAGAGAAATAAAGGGCTATGGCTCTTTTCAAGAAAGCCTTTACTGATTGATAAGTGGGAGATGGCAAGTGTTGGGGAGCAATGAAAGCAAGGCTGTTTTTGTTGCATAATTTGACAGTGAAATTTGCATTGTGAAAGTTCATTTTGTATCGCCAAGGAGACACTGATATTTCCTTACTAATTTTTTCTGCCTTTTTCTTTTTAATAGCATTTATGATGACATATAAAATATAGGTGTATTTCTTTTCAAAGTAAAAATGTGAATGACTCAGTAGTCTTCAGGATATGAGATAATTGAGAAACATGTAGATCTGTGTTGAAAATTTCTGTCTGTTCTTTGCCGGAAGGACATTATGAAGACTGACAGAACAGATACTTGTTGAGGATCCATTTTAGGTGCAGGAGGTTAACAGTGGAAAACACCAGTGCCTGTCCTCAGGGAGCTTATGTGCTAATGGGAGGCAGTGCCTCAGGGGCTACTGTACCTAGCACATAGCAGGTGCTTCCTTGTTGATGCAAAGGATTTTCACTCAGCTAGTAATCCAAAAGTTGAGTGGAAAGGAAAGGAAAGCCACGGTGTCCAGGAAAGAGCAAGCAAGCAGCAGAAGCATCTAGGTAAGGGGAGGGACCTAGGTCCCAACCCCCAAGTGGCAGGAAGAGCAGAGAGTAAACGAAAGGAAAGCTGGGGCATCCAGGACAGAGCGAGCAAGTGGCATAGACATCCAGGTAAGGGGAGGGACCCAGGCCTCAACCCCTAAGCAGCAGGAAAAGCGGAGGGAAAAGGAAAGGAAGGCCAGGGTGTCCAGGTCAGAGTGAGCAAGCAGCAGCAGGGATCCTGTTAAGGGGAGGGTGGAGAAGTTTCCAAAGCTAAGTGAAAAAAACTTGTCTGTTGGTTTGTCGCGCTCTGGTGGTGTGTTGCTGTGAGGCTTGAGGCTGTGCCACTTGTGTTTCAGATGCCAGCAGGGTTGCACATGATGCACAGGTTTCAGCACGGCTTGTAGACAGAAATAGACTAGGAAGAAGGAGGATGCCATCCACTTCTCAAAGAATTGGCCAGGGAACACCTTATGAATAGCAGAGAAACACTGTCTTTTCCATTACAAGGCAACAATATGAATAGCCTGGAAACACTATCTGATACAGTGCAGGGTGACAAGCCACTTAGGTTGGAAAGCTCTCAAAATAGGACTGGGAAAGTGCTGCATCATCAGAGTAGAACCAACCTTACTAATATGGATAAAGTAAAGCTTTTGAGACCTCCATTTGCTGACATGACATGACTCAAATTGAGGAGAAACAGCTGCAAACATCCATTAATAATCAGAACATGGAATGTATGAAGTATGAATGTAGGAAAATTGGAAGTTGTCAAAAATGAAATGGACTGTGTAAAGATTAATATTCTAGGCATTAGTGAGCTGAAGTGGACTGGTTTTGGCCATTTTGAAATCAGACAACCATATGATCTACTATGCCAGGAATGACAATTTGAAGAGGAGTAGTGTGGCATTCATCATCACAAAGGATATTTTAGGATCTGTCCTGAAGTGCAATGCTGTCAGTGATAAGATAATATCCATATGTCTACAAGGAAGACCAGTTAATACGACTGTTATTCAAATTTATGCACCAACCATCAAAGCCAAAGATGAGGAAATTGAAGATTTTTATCAGCTTCTACAGTCTGAAACTGAATGAATGTTCAGTCAAGATGTGTTAATTATCACTGGTGACTGGAATGCAAATGTTGGAAACAAAGAAGAATCACTGGTAGTTGGAAAATTTGGCCTTGGTGA